AAAATAATATTTTTTATTTTTAAAAGTTATTTTTTATAATAGAGCATTAAAATAATATAAAAATATTAATTTAAAATAAAAAATTATTTTTAAAATACAAAACAAACCACTCACAATTTTCACAAATCCAATTATAAGCCACCTCCCGCTTCACCCTAATCAGCCCGCGAAACCCAAAAATCAAAACCCAATCTCTAACCGTCCATTTAAATCCCCACAAAAAGTAGAACCACGTCACCAATCTGCGTCTTCCCAAAACCAACCAATCAACACTGACCCCCTCTTCATATATAACCACATCACAAACCCTTCGTTTAGTCTTAAGAAAGTCACCCGCTTTCCATCTCTTAGCCCAAAAGAACTCTCACTCTCTTTTCCAGGAATTCCAAATGGCTCCCAAGGCTGCGGAGAAGAAGCCAGCTGAGAAAAAGCCAGCAGCAGCAGCAGAGAAAGCCCCGGCAGAGAAGAAGCCAAGAGCAGAGAAGAAGCTGCCTAAAGAAGGAGCCAGTGACAAGAAGAAGAAGAAGGCAAAGAAGAGCGGCGAGACCTACAAGATCTATATCTTTAAGGTCCTGAAACAGGTCCATCCTGGCATTGGGATCTCCAGCAAGGCAATGGGCATCATGAACAGGTTTATCAACGACATCTTTGAGAAACTCGCTCCAGAGTCATCGAGGCTTGCAAGGTACCACAAGAAGCCTACCATTACTTCTCGGGTGATCCTGACAGCTGTCCGACTGGTTTTGCCTGGAGAGCTTGCGAAACATGCTGTCTCTGAAGGGACCAAGGCTGTCACCAAGTTTACCAGCTCGTAGGTGGCCATGTCTAGGGTATATGGGAATGTTTTATGGGTTTTTCTGTATTAGGCTTTCATGTTACATGTAAAGGTTTAGGTTCTGATCTTAGTGGGAATCAGAAGGAGCCCCGTCGAAACAATGAAGCTTTAATTGCCGGCTTCGAATGTTCTTAGTGGAAATAATATATCAATCTCTTGACTACCTTGTTCTTATTATCGATTCAAAACGTTAGCTTGAAACAACAAGCTGAATTGCCAGGATTTGAATGAACTGGACACAGTAATTTCTTAATAATAAACAGACTAGATCTTAACTTAGCCTTTTTGGGTCATCAAGGCCCTTCCACTGCCGGTGCTACTGTCGATAACTTGGCTGGGACTGGACTCCTCTTCAAGTTGGAATTCATCAGTCCACACAAGGATTCGATCGCTCTAAAAGGCCGAAACCATCCCCGACGTCCATTTAGTTCCTCGCTAATCCAACCATCCGCGTCATTTATCCTCTGCGACCTAAAACTAACCAATCGTGGTCTACCCATCTCTCTATGTAACTAACCGAAACAAGTAGCCGCAACTAATTCACCAACCCTTCGATCGAAAAATTATCGATTTTTTCTCTTCTAATTAACAAAGGCAGTCCCGTCTGCTCTAGAATCTCGAAATGGCTCCTAAGGCAGCTGAGAAGAAGCCAGCAGCATAGAAAGCCCCAGCGGAGAAGAAGCCAAGAGCCGAGAAGAAGTTGCCTAAAGGAGGAGCGACTGACAAGAAGAAGAAGGCAAAGAAGAGCGTTGAGACATACAAGATCTATAACTTCAAGGTTTTGAAACAAGTCCACCCTGATATTGGGGTTTCAAGCAAGGCTATGGGTATCATGAACAGTTTCATCAATGATATCCTTGAGAAGCTTGCTCAAGAGGCTTCAATTCAAGGCTCGCTAGGTGGAACAGGAAGCCCACCATTACTTCTCGGGAGATCCAGACTTCTGTCAGATTGGTTTTGCCTGGAGAGCTTGCGAAACATGCTGTGTCTGAAGGGACCAAGGCTGTCACCAAATTTACCAGCTCATAGGCCTCGCTAGGCTTTGCTGGGTTCTGGATTTTTGGTGTTTTGTGGGTGACATGATCTATGAAATAGCTTTTCTGTTGAAGAATAGGTTTAGGTTTTAGTGGATTTGATGCAGGAAGGCTCTTCATCAAAGAAACATGAATCTTGTTCATAATTTTCTTTGATTATTGGGTTTGAATGATGTTGATTCCTGCTTGGGCAGTCTCATTTTTTATTCAATTCTTGTTTTGATTGATTAGGGTTAGTTTGGGTTTGACGATTTCTGTTTTAGTTTTTTCCTTGTGGTTTTGTGCATTTCTGGTATCTGTAGAATTGTTTTAGATCGTTTTGCAGGAGATGTTTTGTAGGTAGTAGTTTGACTGGATTGATTTTTTGCTCCTTTTCGATTAAATTTTGTGGAATCACCTGGTGATCTATGATTTCCTTGAATGGTTTCAATTTCATACGGAGAACAATTGGAAATGTTCGATTTAGATTCTGTTTTTGTACATCGGCGAGCTTCCTTCTAACAACACATTGCTGAAGGCTGGGTAATCGGCTTGATCTGCTTGGGATTGAGAATTTCAATGGAGCTTCGTTGTGGGGGTTTAGAAACCTTCGAAGTGATTTAGCAACCTCATTTAGTACTGGTAAAGGTGCCTGATAATCATCAGAGGCTGGGACTGGATCTAGCCTTGCGGAGCTGTTTATGGGGTGATTCTTCCACATAACTTGAATCAAGATAGTATTGGGTGGGAAATAAATCTTAGTGGTGAGTATTCTGCAATAAGTGCTTGGGTTTCATCAGAGTGGAAAAGGCAGAAGGTTGAAGTACACAAAACTGATTTGGAGCAGTTTTCATATTCCTGGTCACTGCGTTTTCACTTGCTCGGTACTTGGCAGTCCTCAATAATCACGGATCGGTAAAACCAAAAGATGTAGAACTGCTTATCCTTTGGTGCCCCTCGAGGTGATGCAAATGAGCATCGTGATCATGTGCTTTTTGATTGTGATCTTGCAAGGAGGGGGCGTGGTTTTCCCTTCTGCAAATGTATTAAGACTCGTCTAGGTAATTCGATTGCTGAGCTTAGTAGGGCAAATTGTAATTTGCGAAAGAAATGTTTTCGTTCAGAATGCCGCCATACATGCTCTATGGAAGAAAGAAACAAGAGAGTTCATGAACTCGCTGGCTCTCGACTCTCCATCTCAAGCTGTCGTTCAAGTACAGGATCATGAACATGTCGATCTTTAATGTTAAGTTTTCTGCTGTATATTGTAGCTGATGATTCATGTTAACTTAGCTGTTCAATCTTCGTAGTAGGCTATCTACTTACTATCTCTTTGATCTATGGAAATCATATATTTTTATATAATATCAGAGAAAACAGCAATGAATGGACAAAACCCGAGCAGCAGCTACTCATTCACTTAAAGAACTGACATTGGCCTCTTCAACCTTTGCCGCAATTTATTCTGTTTTCAATTGCTCTCATTTCAACTTCCTTACAGTGTGGAGTTTGCTCCGAATTCTAATCACTTCAACAATTGGTCCTCCGCTCATGGACACTCTCCTCCACAACGGACCTACTCATCTGAACATCCGGTACAAGTTGCACATGTGCCCGCGTCTGCAAAAAGCTCTCAATTCCAGGAAAATTGTGGGTAAAAGAAAAACAGCACATAATGCGATCGACAAGCTCCAAAAGGGAAGACTGATATCTTGCAAAAATGGCAAATATTTTAGAGAATCGACTGGACAGTCAACCTTATGGGTTGTCCCTTCACTTGCCTGAGACGTATCTATACACCCAAGCCCTGCAACATATCTTTGAAATCAACAGTAATCAAAGATTGAGTAAATGATCGATAACCCTATAAAGAAAACATCGAAAGCCTCGTTTTCCCAGCTGATCTATTTTTAGTGTCTAACCGAGCATTGCAACTCCAACTCAAGCTGTATGTTCATGCAATCTTCCTTGCCGAAGTCTTGCCATGGCTGTACAGAAATCATCAATCCTCTCCTTATCTCCCATTTCCCTCCTATTATTCGATTGTTGGGCCGACTTTTCTAATCATAGCCTTCAGTGCTAATGACTAATTCAAACAGCTGGGCTGGGCCTGTACTCCTCCCCGTGCCTGACATTTGGTCTTCAAAAGTTACCGCATCTGACCGCCAATTCAAACCCCCGCAAAACCAACCATCCACGTCATCAATCCGCGTCTCACCAAAACCAACCAATCACCAGTCACTTCCTCTCCTTATATAAACAAACCACATAATCCCTAATTCATCCATCAAATCCTTCGAAAAGACCTTCTCAACCACCCTCTCCTGAAGAAACTCATTCTCAATTTCTTTCTCAAGAATCCCTAATGGCCCCCAAGGCAGAGAAGAAGCCGGCTGAGAAAAAGCCAGCGGCGGCGGAGAAATCCCCAGCTGAGAAGAAGCCAAGAGCAGAGAAGAAGATACCCAAAGAAGGAGCGATTGACAAGAAGAAGAAGAGGGCAAAGAAGAACGTTGAGACCTACAAGATCTATATCTTTAAGGTCCTGAAACAGGTCCATCCTGACATTGGAATCTCCAGCAAGGCAATGGGTATCATGAACAGTTTTATCAACGATATCTTTGAGAAACTCGCTCAAGAGTCATCGAGGCTTGCAAGGTCCAACAAGAAGCCTACCATTACTTCTCGGGAGATCCAGACGGCTGTCCGACTGGTTTTGCCTGGAGAGCTTGCGACACATGCTGTCTCTGAAGGGACCAAGGCTGTTACCAAGTTTACAAGCGCTTAGCGGCTAGGGTTGGGTTTTTTGTGGGTTCTGTTTAATTAGTGCTTCTGTCCTATGTAAAGGCTTTTTAGATTCTGATCTGAATGAATCTGATGTAGGTTTCTTCTGTCATTGAATGGAATTAAATTTTTCGGTCCTGAAATTTGATTTCCCCTTTTTTTTTTTTATCTCTTTCTATTTTTAGATTCAGATTTTGATTAATTTATGGGTTAATAAAAAAGGCTTGCAGGGGAGATACTTCGGGGTCGCTTTGAACGGATTGTTTTGTGTCGATGAAGATTTAACGCCATGTGCGCTTCTTAGTAAAGCATTGACGTGCCTTTTTTTTATCCTACGCCACAAGTAATCTTCGCCAAGCAAAAAAAAATAAAATTGGCCCACAATCAAAACACCTGCTGGCATTTTCCCGTGCAGCTTAGGAAAATGTAACCGCGTGAGTCTAAATTGCGCCTCGTTAGCCGCAGAACCACTCGCCCTCGTATCCATCACCAGCACAGACAAAACCTCTATTTTATCCTCTTCTAGCTTGCAATCCTTGAATTTTCAGTATTTTCATGGCAACAGTAGGCCTAAGTTCAATCTCTTTCAGATCCAGAAACCCTAGAAATCCCCTCACTTCCAAACAACTCTTTCCAACTGAATATCCAAAATGCACGCTTCGTGCTTCGGCTGATTCCGCCCCGAAAGCGAAATTCATTGCCAGACGTAGAGAGTCCGTTTCGGTCCGGCAACTCGGCCGCCCTCTAGGTAATGTTAGGATGGATTAATTTCTTAAGCTAAAGATTACAAAAGGTTTTAATTTTGATTGTTTTGAAACTGAGTTTGTAATGATTTTTTTATGTTGAGGTTGCAGTGGAGTATATGAGTTTGCCAGCGAGTCAGTACTCAGTGCTGGATGCGGAAAGGATAGAGAGGGTAGACGATAACACGTTTAGGTGTTACGTGTATAGGTTCAAGTTTTTTGCGTTTGAGGTTTGTCCTGTTTTGCTTGTTAGAGTTGAAGAGCAGCCTACTGGTTGTTGCATTAAGCTTTTGTCCTGTTTTGCTTGTTAGAGTTGAAGAGCAGCCTACTGGTTGTTGCATTAAGCTTTTGTCCTGTTTTGCTTGTTAGAGTTGAAGAGCAGCCTACTGGTTGTTGCATTAAGCTTTTGTCCTGTTTTGCTTGTTAGAGTTGAAGAGCAGCCTACTGGTTGTTGCATTAAGCTTTTGTCCTGTAAGGTAATAATAATACACTGGTTATTGTTATTGTTCCATTTGTTGTTTTTGAGTTTGTTTATGACGTTTTGGATTACATGGTGTTATGCACTGATGTTTGCTTGGTTTGTTGGTTGCGGCAGCTTGAAGGTTCGCCGATTGTCGTTGCGCAGAATGAGAAATTTGACGGTAAGGGTTTCTATTTGGGTTTTCTGGCAAGCATAGCATGGATTGATTTTGGATTTCTTTGTGTGCTAGACCAGCGTTTTGACTCTGTTTTCGAATGATGGGCATGAAATGTGGTGGTAGTGTAAGTGTCATTATTGGCCAATGCTTGCTATGATAGTTGTCTTCTTGAGGTTTGACTTGTTTATTATACCTTGTATAAGTCTGGTTTAGTTATTTTTTTGTGTTATGGGTGTAAGAATGTGCACAAGTGTCTTGTTTAATGGGACGTTAGTTTCAATGTATGATTGGATGGATGCTGTAAATCAAAGGTTTTCTTTCAGAGATTAGTTTCAAAACCAAGGTTTTAGCGAAGGAGTACATGATGCCCTGCCCTTCGTTTTTTTTCTTTTGCTTGGAATTGGAAGGTAGAAAACATCTTTGAATGTTGCAACACTAGATTTGTTAAAATTTTACTGTACAGAATGAAATGCTCAGCAACTAAATTTCATCATGTGCTTCTCAGAATGTTTTTCATACTTGGCCTGGCCTTGCTGTAAAATGGCTACTGTTGACCAGGCTTTTATTTGTAAAATGGCTACAATTCAGGCATAGCGAGAAAATACTGGAAATGCTGTATTATTAAGTGGAGTAGAGGAATGTGGTTTACTATCTCATAAAAACTGGTTTCTGAGATTTATTTTAATAACCTTCTGTCCCTGGCTATACTCCACTGCTTGTGTGTGTTCTTGGAGCCTGGACAGTGATCGGCAATAAGGCACCGACATGCCTGCAAAACCATGTCTTTAACTTCTGCAGCTTAGCTGATGAAAGTTAGGGAAACTTTAATAATTCAACTGTCATGGTGAAAATAGCATCTCTCTGTAAACCTTAACTGCTGTGCATGAAAAAAATCATTATCAGGAACATGCGATCATTTTGGCTGAACCAATGCAAAGGATGAGAGATTTTCTTTCGGAAAAAATCCATGTTCAAAGTAGAGTTAGAAATTAAATTTCTAAATTTATTATTCTAAATGCTTTTTTCAGGAATGCTTTGACACTAATTTGGTGTGGGAATGCAGCTTCTATGGTGAACCAAATTTCATGCAGTAGCAACTCAAGCAACTCTACAATGCAGCGACTTACTTCAGATGCAGTCATTGAGGTACTTGACAAAGTTGTCTTTGCTTGTGGCGCAGTGTTTTATAATGATTTCAATATTGTACATGGTCATATATGTAAACAAATATTAATTTTAAACTCGTGTTTCATTCTAGGTTAGCATTGAGGTTCCTTTTGCAATTAGGGCCATTCCAGCTGAAGCGATAGAATCGACTGGTGCCCAAATCCTTCAACAAATACTTGGGCTTATGCTTCCCCGCTTTATGGCACAGGTTTGAGGAAATCAAAATTAAATTATCCTATGAAGAATGAAATAGGCTTGTTACTAGTTGCAGATCTGATATTTGCTCGCCTAGTACCTCATTTTGGTTAAACCCTTGCATGTTCACTATTTGGGTGAGTCTTGAAGCTCCTGGTCCAGGCTGAATTCCACAGGTCTCGCACCATGAAAAATGACTTCATGTAAACCATATGGCTATTAAAAGCAGATATCAATTGGGGGATTAGATGAAAGAACAAATCCTTGCAACATATACTAACAGTACAAGATCATTTTCAGAATTCTGCACGAAATTCTCTTCTGTCTGATAAATCTTGTTCTTCAATTGGTAAATGAAGTATGATTTGGTGATTCAGTTCTTACAACAATGTAAAACTGCCTCCATAACCTAGATATACCAGTTTGATTCGTCTGATCCTACATGTTGCCACCATCATCTGGATTGATTTATTCCTCCTTTAGGCTTGTATTTGTTCATCAGGAATGGTTAATTTTTCGTGAAATCAATTTGTTTAATAATTTTGCAGCTTGTAAAGGACTATCAAGCATGGGCCTCTGGTGACACATCAAGGCAGCCTCTTGGAACTGGTGAGATTTGAGATTTATGGAAGGCAGCGCTAGCAGCATTGTAATTAAATCTGTTAGTCTCCTTCGACCCAGTTATTGCATGTTTATATTGGAAACAGGCAATGAGAATCCTGGCTGTTCTATGTACGCTTGTGTTCTGTTTTCTTCTTGTTTCAGAGCTAGTCTTAGTTCAGAACAAACCATGCGATTAATTTCATACAAGCAACGATTCTATTTATGTTTTTGTTGTCAAGTGACGGGTTACCATTTCAGATTGGAACAGTTTTCTTTTAGCTTGTTTCCTCCATATTCTCATGGTATGTTTTATGCCCCAAAAATCGTAGTCACCCCAAAGCATTCAAACAGGGAAAAAGATACACATCACGACATCACAAAGACACACAGGCTCAGAAAATAAATAGCCAGAAACTTGACGAAAACCGCACACATTGCCTTTGAGGTCTATTCCTTTATTTTGTGATAAAACTTATTCCTTTATTTTGTGATGAAACTTTCTTGATATGTAGCATCACTTTTCGAAAACCCATCCTAAAGGGAGCTACAAGACAAACTCTTACCATACACATTGAAGTTACGGTGAGCATTGAGTATATAAGGAAATGGTCATCTATCAAAACCTTGAACATTGAGTATATGTTTTTTCCACCCCTCCATTCTACTCTTTTTTTCTTTCTTTTGATCATTTAGTCAATTTAAATGTCAATCCTTTCTGTTTCCTCAATTTTATTTTGTAGTGACCTTTTTTATTTATCTATTTATATCTTGTTTCATTACACTATAGATTAATTAATGATGGATGCAATCGGCTATCTCTTGCTGCCTAACAGAGCATTGAGCAGAGCCCATCATCATCATGCTTTTCTCAATGACTAGGCCGATCCTTCTGTACCTGTTTTTATCTATCACTTTTTCTTTGCTAGGATCGGCCCACTTTGGCAAGCCTTTTTGTAAGAATTGTGCATGCATAACAGTGCAAGTGCACACCTCTTCTAGGCAGCTTTGCTGACACGGTACACCTACTGTAAATATTGACACTGTAAAAAAATTTCTTCCATTGATTTCATGAGGACAAGCTGGAGCACCACCAAGTGTCTAAGCACAAGGGGAGAAGAAATATACACAGCTCCCTCCATGTTTTTGTGTCTTCAAGGATTACATAAAGGTAAACATTTAAAAGCAATTATACAAACTATCTCATCGGAGATGATACTTCATCTGGAGTATACCTATCGATGAAAGGAGTAATCTTGATGACCAGGCCAGGGAAAACATCATCTGGGTCATGAATGTGTGGATTTTCCTCGACAATATAAGGATCCCCACATTTCTCACTTATACTGTTTAAAGTCTCGCCTTCTCGAACCACATAAATCTCATCGCATGGCTTGTTCTCAAAGAACCTCGGGTGCCCTACCGTGGACAATTCGGTTTCACTCACTTCACAGCAGCTCAAAACCAGCATTAGTGCCATCAACAAAGCACAGTACCAAGAGATCTTTTCTGCCATAACAGTTGATGAAGAAACAGAACCCATTTCTTACTTGTCACAAATTAAACAGAGTCTTGCTTGTTGGTCTTGGCTGAAAGACAGAGCTGGATATAAATGGTTAAGGTTTCTTGGGGCTGTAATTGTATAAATAGGGAACCAAATTAAATAAGAGAGGTGGTGCACCGTTACTATCTAGAGGTGGTTGAACGAAGCTGGTTTAGCTCTGGCTGGTGTTGAGAGGGCTTCTTCAGTGTGGTAGGTATCTGTCAGCGGGAAAATTTCAAAGAAAAGCAATGGAAAGGGTTGGTTTAACTGCTTTTATTTTGATGGGTTTGGTTTCATTTCTCAACCTTGTATTAAGTTGCTTCCATAACGTTGACTCCCCTTCATTTATATTAGAAAAACGTAGCCTCAGTACCATATATTGTTAGTACGTAGTTGTATTCATCAGAAATGAAACAATCAAGTCTATGATTTGATGACAAGAAAGTCTACCATTTCAGCTCAATAACATTTATTAATTAATCCCAAATACTTGTGCATAAAAATAATATAAAGCGCTGAGATACTCTTCTACCTATTTCTTTCAAAAACTTATCTGGGATTGGATACCTTGGAATGAATTGCATTACTGGACAGGCATCGGGGTATATGAAGCACACGTTGTTTTGAAAGCAGCAGGTCTGTGTAGGGTTGAGAAGTAGACAAGCATCGGGATACTCGAACTCAGAGGCCTAGCATGAAATGGCCAGTGCATCGCCTCTAGCTGCAATGGTCCATTTGCGGCCTTCAGGGTTCAGAACTGTGAATTTTGAGCTGCCTTAATCTGTGTTTATTTTTCGATTCTGTCAGTTTAAGGAGCTCGTGAAAACTGTCTTCTTGTGGTTTATCGCTTGGTATTGAGGTCATCTGTATTTTTTAAAAAAAATTCGAGATTTTTTAGCTTTAATATTTTTCATGTAATTTTAGATGATTTTATTGTAATATATTAAAAATAAATTTGAAAAAATAAAAATTATTATTTTAATATAATTTTATATAAAAAACATTTTAAAATATAATATCCCGCATCACCTACTAAGTTGTTGCCGCTGACATTTGACACCCATTTGTCTTCAGGAAGAAAAAGGGTGTATAAACCCAAGGCCTTTCAAAAGTTTGTATGCCCTTCTCCCGTGGTTTTCTTGACTATTTCTTTATGCATCGGTCTAATCTATTACAATCTAGGAATTGTCACTGTCGTTAAATCTTTT